TTTCTTCTTTCTTTGTGTCTTTTCTTCATTTTGTTTCTATCCGATATTATGTATGACCGCACCTTGTCTTCTATGTCATTGTTCAGGTCAATTTCCACGTTGAATTTTCTTACTGTTCTCTTCTTCACGCCGACCATTTTGTAGGGGAACGATCACAAGGGGGAGGTGCTGCTGACTGCTAACTTGCGTCCTTTCACACGGACATGGGTAGGTAAATTTATGGCACTAACTAATTTGTCACCCGAGGGGGGGGGAAAATAATAGTTGTCCTGTCTGCACGCCTACACGGGGTTTTGGCTGAATGTCCGGGTCCTCTTCTCTACCACTACGTACGTAAAGGGTGGTAAATACACACAAGGAAAAAATGATCTTCTACCACCCCCTTTAACATTTACACATTTTGTAAAATGAAAATGAAAAGTGGATGCATTTTGATGAAAAAAGATGTCTCTCCAACACCAGCGCAGTTCAGTTATGGTTAATTATTTTCATTATATGGCATCATACTTTGTTAAAGGCTTAAAAAAAGGAGAAGCGAAGAAGAGCCATATATAAACAGGGTGGGGGAACAAAACTCCTCAGCAAAATAAAGGGACGAACTGACTGGGGAGAAAAATCGAAGGACGCATACAAATATATGCAGCCTGGGAATGGCACAATAAGTCAAAAATGTTTGACGAAAAATTTCATGAAAAAAAAATGGATACAAATTTTCATGAAAAGTTTGCAGTGCCTGTAGAAAGTATGAATGACAGCAGTCAGGAAAATAAAGAAGATGAAAGAAAATATGCCCAAGAAAGCAAATCAACGCGTATAAATATATAAACTGTTCCCAATTGGGTAAACTTATATTGGGGACTTTTAAGTATATAATAAAATGATTGCTTACTTTTATTTTATATATAATTCATACGTATCCATTTTAAATTATTGGAAGGAAACGAAGTTTATTTGAAAAAATAAAAAAAAAACGTTTATTCGAATGGCCAAAAGAAAAAAAAAAAAAAAAAAAAAAAAAAAAA